TTACAACAAAAACTAAACCCTTAAACTCAATAAAACCCCATTCTGTTTTTTGTATGCAGTAAAGACAACCTTTCCCTATATCATTTGAAAGTTCTAGATTCCCTTCACAACATAAGAAAAACGTTTGATAAGTTATTTTAGCTAGGCTAAAGAAATTTTGGATGTTTCATATTGGCCCAAGGGTAAACAAAAAACAACAAAATGGTTCAATTCTGAGATGGTTCAGCTTGGACCATCTGTTGAGTTGAGCCAGAATGACCCCTGTGGGATCAAACCAGATGGGTTAATCTTTGAAACTGATTTTCATGTTGGTGTGTCAGCTTCACCAATTCAAGACAAGAAAAAAAAGTTTCAGGAAATTGGTATTTAGCGAGTTTTAATACCTTTTAAAAAAAAAAAAAAAAAAAAAAAAGCCTAGCAACTATTTGAGTGATTTTTCAGAGTTTGAGTCACTATCAAAGGCTCATGTGAGAGCTGATTTATATGCCATCTGAGGCAGAGCAGCATTAACCAACAATGGCAGGTCTGAGACACTGAGAGGCAGTGTTCCCAAATACCCACCCCTCCGCCACCGAAACTACCCACTAGTGTTGTAGTCAAGACCGCCTAAACCGAGACCAAGACATTGCCGAGACCGGAGGGTATCAAGACCAAGACACTGCCGAGACTTGAGGGTACCAAGACCAAGACCAAGTCCAAGACCAAGACCAAGACACACTAAGGCGAGACCAAGATCAAGACTGGTCGAGACCAAGACCAAGACCGAAAACAGACTAGGGCTAGAATCGACATCACATTACCCAGATCAACTGTAGAGAAAAAAGGCATTGCTGTAAAGTGTCATTACTCGTTAAATCAAATTCATGTTATCTTTTCAATTATATTGTCCGTATGTCCATATGTCTCTCATTTAAAATCTCCCAGATTTGTCATAGTTATGAGACCTGATGAAAAATTATATTCTCAGCAATCCTCTCCTATAACCATTTTATCAGACCTCGTCAAGGGAAAGAGATGGGATGTACCAGAAAGATGTTCATATTAAGTCTCTTATACCAGGGACAGAGGTCTCGGGTAAGCTATGAATACAGCTATGTAATGATCCTTTGCTTTGAATTGAAGAGAATGAGCCTCCAGATTGACTTGCACCTCCAAGACCGTGCTTTCTAATCAATGTAAAATACCTAATTTATTTTAATTATAACTATGCTATAGACTTCGCGGACATTTTCGGACATTTTTTTGCCGATGTATGATACGATGTGAATGATGTTTGTGGACTGTGAAGCACTGGCAGTGTCCGTGGAGAAAATGTATAAAATGTAACGTTTTTGAAATGGATGCATCTGACTGGTTGCATTTGAATTGAGGCGCGTAATAAATAATGATACTGTTCTGTGAGGATGTGCAGTTCTCTTTTTTTCCCCATCCCATCGAGACCGCTATGTCCGAGACCAAGACAAGACCGAGACCAAATAGAGTCGAGACCAAGACAAGACCGAGACCAAATACAGTCGAGACCAAGACAAGACCGAGACCACAAAAAAAAACACTACTACCCACTCAGATAATCATGAGACCCCCAACATTTCAAAGCTGGAACCAGATCTGCTCACCAAGCTAAAATGATCCGTCTACTGTCTGCTTACAATATAGCATCTGTACTATTAGTGAAACAACCATTTTTTAACACTGAAATATAAATATAGATTTGTAGGGTTTTCCGTACCATAGAAGTCAGCAAATACATACACAGCCAACCATATCAGAATCATAGAAAATATGACATACACTTTTTATTAAAATCATTTGAACATTATAAAAACCGTATGTTGAACTAAATGGGATTTTTTTTTTTAACCGCGGTATTGAACTTGGTATATTGAGAATTGTGCAATTTCTCTGGTATTTGCACAGACTATTAAAATTCTGGTACTGTGACATCCCTACCTGTAACTACTAAGCAAGAAACAGAATGTTGGACTACAAATTATTTGTTTGAAGATTTAATAAAGCCAACAAAAGGTAAGAAATTGCAGTGTTCAATATCAAGGGCTGTGATATTTGCAGTTAAACGTTATAAATCAAATTCTCTCTCCTATGACTTTTGATTTCCTTTTCAAAATTTTTCAACATCCCTAACACCCACCCCCTAGCTAGAACCTAGGGAAAACCCATTCAGTGCTCAATGTTGAAAAGATCCCATGGTTGTCAGATTACACAAAAGCCAATTAAAATCTAGAGCTGCATAATAGTTCTGTTACTTGTACTGAATTAAAAAAATCAATAGACAAATATCCAACATTATATTCTTATGCAACTAATATAGTTTGAAAGTTTTGAGCTAGATATACTGGTTTGGTACATCTTTACTGTCACTCTTTAAAACAAAGCCATTGCCTTTCATCTGCACATTCTTGGCTATCCACACTGCAGCACTTACTGGTCTTTGTGTAGCACCAAGTTGTCCAGGAGAGCACTGCAAGACGATATCTTGGCCTCGAGATTTGCAATCCTCCGCTCGGTCACTCGCAGAGCTTCCTGGCGAGCCTCCTGGGCAGACTGCACCTCCTGCAGTTTCACACTGGCCTCTCTCTGAAGAGCAAGGCACAAGGTAAAAAGCAAACTCTCAGGTCACTTACAATAATCCAAGTTAAGAACAGATAGAGTAAAACCTAGAAAAATACATTATTGCTAATTATATACCCAAAAAATGAGGGGAAGAAAACTTTATTGAATGTTTGATCTATATAGGTAATAGATAACTTAATAGAAAATCAATTTGATAATTTATTTTTCATGCTAATATGGGACTGCCTCTGGCATAATAAAATATACAGATTGCCATCCTGTCCAGAGAGCACCCGAGCCATGTGCCCCAAGCTGATCATGTGACCTAATGTGACCCTGACTGAGATAAGCTATTAGAAAGGTATAGAAAACACCTACCTCAGTCTTTCTGTCCATTTTCATTTTTTGTTTTGCCTTTTCCTTTGCTTCTGCAATCTATTTAGAAGACAATTAATTGATTGATTAAAAACAGATATGAGGATGGGCAATGTGCACTTTCAGGAAGTTAATTTGAAGGAATGGAACAGACAGAAATTCAAGACATAAAAAGCAAAACATTACAGAATGGCTGGATCAATTAAAATGACATTTTTATGCCTCTACAATAAGTGCTATATAACCCAAAATTCAGGCTGATAAGAAAATTATGCTCTAATTATTACCTTTCTCTCCAAAGTAACCAGCATCTGGGCAATCATCTCTCTCTTTTCATTTGCCTGCTCCATTTTTTTCTGTAGACTCATGATGCAGTCTTGCACACCCTGTATGCCCTCTCGGTGCTGATTCTTCAGAGCTTTCCACTGAGTGTAGGCAAAGTCATCTGCAACATTTCATGGAGAGTTAGCAATAAAATCCAATGGCATTCTTTCGTTGCTTCAGATCAAATAGGTGTCCTGTATTAAATGGGAAAGGATCTTCTGTAAGCACCCCCATTTGGAATTTATGTCCATGCATGAGTGTGAGTAAATGTGTGGTGACATGCACTGTTGTATGGTTCTTGCCTATGTCCTTAGGACAAGAGCTGTTCAGCAGCTCCTCTGGTGACTCCAGATTTTCCAGAAGTTTGAGCATGTTGTCCAGCACACACAGCTGCTGGCTCATTACTTTCAGCTTCCTCCTGCTATCCTTAAGAGAGAGATGTGCAGAAACACAGTCCAGTCAGTTTGGCTATACATGTTTGTTCTCCACCAAGGAAACATCAGCCAAAATTACTAACATAAACCATAAATACAGGATTTTAAAATGCTTTGTTCCTTTACCATAATTTTGTCAGGGGGAGCTATATTCACAATACACCCTCAGGTTTCACAGGTCACATAAAAGTACAATCTCAGCTGTACTGTTAACCTATTTTCCACCATGAACTATAATATAGTATTATACAATTAGGGAAAAAAAAAAAAGTTAAAATGTTCACAGCATAAGAATTTCCTTCCCCTTCACAATCTTGTGCCAAACACTAATTTTCTTTTACAAAGTCAAAGGAAGCAAGAAGTGGAATTTAAGCATCCCAGGGATAGCTTAATGGGCAAACCACTCCATGCTGACATTCATTTTTTCATGTGTTCAGTACCATACATTTTCAAAAAATAAGGCTGCTCAGGCAAGACTTACAGAAATACAAGCTATTTTGACCATACCACATAGAAATATCTCAAATAAAACCCAAACTAGATTACAATGGACATCTGAAAATTGAAAACATTCATCTGTTTTGGTGATGAAGATGAAAATCTCCAAGTAGGTCACTTAATTGTGTATATGTGACACATGGTGTGATTTGTGGAGGTACAGGATGGGTTTTTTTGTCTATGTGACAGATACTCACAATTAGAAAGGGCACCATTGCTTTGGCCGGAAGCTCCACTTCCCCAGCCATTTGAGCATCCTCTACATTCAAAAGATTTCTTCGAGCAGCTTCCCATTGCTGCTCCAACCTAGAGGACCACACATCATTTAACTTAACGAATACTCTGTAAATGCCGTTCCTATATACAATACCGAACAACTACCAAACGACATCGAGGACATCATATAATAATTTTCTAAAGATCATAAGATTATTATATATACTAATCGATTATCGGGAAAAGAGGGATGAACCACTTACACAACAACCCTTTCTGTCGCCATTTCTGTTTTTCAAAAAGAGCCGCAAAAGAGCTTTTATATCTTATTGGCCAAAGGAAGCGACACGTCATCTAATTTAAAAAAAAATACGGGCCTATCCCAAACCGAACCCTGCACACTCCCACCTTCGTTTACGCCGAGCGTGCTCGGCTAAGGGGGAGTGGCCCATGATGAAGTGAGTCAGGAGCGACAGAAATATTTTGTCTACGTTGATTCAAAGCTCCGCTAGAAGAACCAATCAAATTTCACAATATTACACGGATCGCTCTGCTGACGAGCCAATCAAGTTTCAACTTCACCTTTAATCGCGCCCACGAAGTAATGCCGCTCAACGCGTTTACATGCACAATAAATAGTCACGTTTATAGCTCGACTATGCCATTGAATCGGACTACTGTTCTTGTCCCAGTATACGTACACGGGAAGGGAATCAATTTATTGATCGAAGCATGTCTGACTTCGCTGCAGTAGGTGAGAATATGGCTCATTTCAGCTGGTTAGTTTTGGGCTTCCACTTGACCCATTACGTCACAGACGTAAAAATAATAAAAGCAATAACAATGGATGCGTGGACAAGTAAAATGACACAAGGGGGCTGTTCCACGAAGCCAGCTTATAAAATCGAGGATTATTTGTAATAGCCTCGCTTGAGTTAGCCTAACAGTTCACTTCAGGCTCATTGAGTTCCACGAACAAAATTCAGGCGTATTTAATCTCCGGTAATTCAAGCCAAGCTTGATAAGCGAGGCTCGTGCGCGTCCGCTTGATATAAAAGGCAGCCTTGTTAATCGATGCTGGATAAGTAAGAATGGAAACTAAGGAAAGAGCTGCGTTTCCCCCCCAGGCAGAGCACGAATTATTATTACAAGCCTATGAGGACTACAACGATATAATAACTAATAACTTATCAAAGCTCGTGAGGCTACATGGCAGAAAATAGCTGACAGGTTAAATGCGTAAGAATATGATTTAAGTAACCTTTGTGTTAAGGATGTCAAACTATTTAACTAAATGAGAACAGTGTCAAGCCTTCAAAATGTATAGTCATTAAAATTTCCTTTTACATATGCATTTTGTTACCAGTTGTAAGGTACTTTAAGGTTATTTTAACACATTGATAAACAGGACAGCATGTTAATTATATGGGTCCATCTTGGATAAAAAGTGATATATAATTGTAATTATTAATAATGCTTGGTTTCAGGAGCAACATGAGTGGAATGAAAAGGTCTTGGTAGCAAGTGAAGATTAAATACAAAAATATTCTTCAGAATGGTAAAAAGTAAATCTCTAATTAGAACTACATTTTTAAAGAATTAATTTAAAGGCTACTTTTGCGTTGTATAATTTAGCCACCAAAAAGAGAGCTGCGGCTGCTGCAACTGGTGGGGGCCCACCGCCAACAGCCTGTACCCCAGCCGAGGTGATGGCCCACCGCCAACAGCCTGTACCCCAGCCGAGGTGATGGCCCACCGCCAACAGCCTGTACCCCAGCCGAGGTGATGGCCCTTGCACAGAACCGTGCACGGCCTATTATTGAGGGGATTGAGGGAGGAACATCCTCAGATGTTGTTCTTTCTAGTAATGTGCAAAGGTATGTTAAAGGTATGGTAGGTCTTTACTCTTTCTCCTCTCTGCCTTGCTTTCTGTTAAATGTCTTAAATATTCTAATGCATTACAGTAGTGGATGGTGTCTTGACCTTCTTGGATCCTGAACAACAGTCTTTAGAATCTGTTGTGAGTATTGTATTTAATCATATACTTTAATATACTGCAATAACTGTGGGTTTTGTATTTAATGTTCCAGTCCAATGCCTTTATCTGCTGCTAATTCTGTCATGTATTGTGGTTTTTGTTCACTTAAGTTAATTCTATAAGTTAAGTCCCGCTTCTAATGGAAATAGCTTTACTTGTACTGTT